TTCACTTGTGTTATCTTTGACTAATAATTTAAATTTGTTTGATGATCTGAAACATTAAAGTGTGACAAACATGCAAAATAATAAGAAATCAGGAAGGGGGCCAACACTTTTTCACACCACTGTATATAACAGTGCTATGATTTTCCAGCTTAATGAATTGCGCTGAATTCCAGTTGGTGATTTCAGGTAAATCATGTACACTCCGGCAGCCGATACGGGAGTGACGGTGGTGGAGAAGGATGCGGCTCTGAGCAGTGCGTACTCACCTGTGGACTACATGAGCATCACCAGCTTCCCTAGACTACCAGAAGATGATGTTTCAGCCGACAACACTCTCAAATCACGCAGAGATGATGATAACTTCCTCAGTGAGCAGGACACAGGTAAAGCATTTGATCATAGTGCTGTCTGACGTAGTCTCCACGCAGTGGCCTAAATTCTGTCCTGTCTCTGTGTGCAGACCCTGATCTGTTCCTGAAGTCAGCCCGACTGCAGCGGCTGCCCTCCTCTGCCTCAGCCAGTCGGGACGTCTCTCCACTGAGAGAGACCAGCAGAGACCCGCTGGCACAGGATTGTGCCTGCACACGTGACGGGCTGACCGTCATCATCACCGCCTGCCTGACCTTCGCCACGGGGGTCACCGTAGCCCTCATAATGCAGATCTACTTTGGAGACCCGCAGGTGCTGTGAAGTACTACAACATTTCAACTTGTGCGAAAAAGGGTTAATACAAGTAATGGGAGATGGAAACACATTTTGCAAATTCCTCCATGCGCATCAAAAAAAGTCATGTGACTTTGCATGATGGGATGGATCTTGCACAGCATCTGAAACGTTGTTATGGTCATTCCGAACAAAGTCTGTCTTCAAAGTATTTCTGTAGAATTGCCTCCCAGAACTACGACTGCTTTCCCAAACAGCAACACCCACCTCCGAAATCAATGACAGCATTTATTGCATTTCATTTGCTCGCTCTCAGGCACAAGTAGTTTATTATATTACAAAATTATTGTATTCATTGGGTTCTCCTACTTTTCTTAGTGATATTTAATGGCAGTTTATCAGAAAGTGACGATTTTGACTCGGATGGAAACTGGTTATTCACACATGTTTGTGATATTTCAATTTTGCAGCTTTGGATGAAAACCTGGCTATTGAGTACTACTTACGCATTTTGGAGGGTGAAAGATAAAATAGGTGAAAATAAGGGGGGAAATTTTTTTCCAATAGGACTATAACCATCCCAGCTATTCAAAACTGGGATTGCTATACCAGAAAAAGAGGGGACCAGTTTCTTTGCAAAGTGTCTAATTGGTTCTAGGGTGTACGTTCTGAGTTAAATGCATAAAGACCCAAAACAGTATAAATATCATTTTCCAAATGTGTATTTTTCACTCAATATTTACAAAGCACAAACAAACAAACTCGCACAGGGGCTGACATATAAAAAAAAATAACTAAATAAGTAATGAAACGATGGAAATGTGCAAAGGCTTGAGTGTGGAATGTTTCATAAGCTGTAGATTAGCCAAACCAGTTCAGGTCAATGGTTGCAGTGCATGAATAAGTCAACGGTCTTATGTGATGAGCTGATCTCTGTAGTGTAGAAGTCCTTGAAGTAGGAGGCTGGGAACGCTTTGGGTATAATCCTTGAGCAGTTGCAATAATGCACTCAAAAGAATGCCAAATTTGTTCGTCCACACAGCAGTATGGTTGTAAACATGCAGGCATCAGCATGTATTGCAGCAATTAAGCTCAAGAAGAGGCAAAACAAAAATCCTCTCGAAAAGAGAACAACCAGTCAGAGTCCATAAACCAAACAAACATGGTATTTAAATCATTGCAAAATAACCTTCATAAGCTTTCACCAAGATCCTTCAAAATACAACAAAGTGTGAAAATAAAACATCAAACTTACGGTTTCTCAAACCAGGATTGTTTGTAGCACAGCAAGAAACCATGTGGAGTTCAAACTGAGTCTTTCTCTCACTGTACTGCTTCCTTCCTTTATACAGAAATGGTAGAGCTACTAGTGCCACCTAATGGTCCGGAGGAACATAGCGCGACAAAATAATACAAAATGAACCTTGTGACAGGCCATGACTGTTACAGGACAGAACTGTTCCTTATTTTAGTCTCTTCTGTCCTCAGGTGTATAATCAAGCCGCGGTGGTGACGGATGTGGCCCGCTGCACGTCTCTGGGCTTTGATGTTTTGGGCAAACAGGGGTCCAGCGTTGATGCCGCCATAGCCGCTTCATTCTGCCTGGGCATCATCCATCCCCACACCTCGGGCATCGGCGGGGACGAGGGCAAGGTCAGTGGGTCACAGCAGGCTTTGATGTATTTAGCAGAGGCTTTTATCCAAAGCCACTTACAAAAAGAGGAACAAGGCAATTCATCAATGAGCCAACAATATTTGCATAATGTCAGTTTTATTAGACAACTAGATTAGGAAGCGAGCTAGAGAAGAGAAGAAATACGGGGTGTGTGTGTGTGTGTGTGTGTGTGTGTGTGCGTGTGCGTGTGCATTGGTTAAAAGTGTCTTCAGCTGTTTCTTGAAACATGATGGTCTCTCAGTAATTCAACAGGAGGTTCAGCTCGTTTCACCAGAGAGGAACAGAGAGGGTGAAGGTGCTGGCGAGTGATTTTATGGGCTCATTGAGAAGAAACAACAAGGCGTTGCTCGTTCTTATTGTTTTATAAGGTAACCTTTAAAAGGATGGTTCACCCAAAAAGGAAAAATTGGTAAATGCAAGCTCAGACACGCTTTATCAATAAGGTTTGTTCTTGTGCATCAAGCAATTAGCGTTGATCTTCCACTTACCATATTTGATGTGATCAATGTTTATATGTGAATAAAAGGCTAAATTAAACCTGTTCAACATATTAAGTGATTGTGTCAGAGGACTTGGATTAAAAAGCTTAGAAAGCTTAAAAATCTTAAAATGAATAAGAACATTTTGAAGTATCAGAGTTTTGGTTATCTGGACTGAAGATTAAAATATCTTCATTTGTGTTTTGAAAATGATCGAAAGACAGAATTCTCATTTTTGGGTGAAATATCCCTTTAAAGATTACACTGGCAGAAACAATGCTTCACTGTAATGGAAAAATGAAAATATTAAGGATTTGTGAATTTGAAATCACAATCAATTGTGATTTGAGCTGGAAAAATAATAGAAATAAGCAAAAATTATGGACATTGTAGGGAATGTATTTTTATTTTTTTTATTTTTTTGTACAAAATGTGTATTTATTTGAAATATTTTTTCTTTGTGAGTGTTTGTCTAGTCTACTCCTTTAGGTATGATTTTATTTTATTTTTTCAAATATTTTATTTTTAAAAAAATCTAGTTTTTAAAAATATTTTATTTAGAAAAGGTCTATTTATGATGCCCATATTTTGCTTATTATAACTTTTATTTTAGGGTCTGTTAGAATACATTTACATGATTTAAATAAAAAATTGCATGATTTTTCTTATTATGTACATTGCTGCAGCACCTTGACTGCTGTAAAACATTTCAAATTTCTCTTTGTGAGTGTTTGTCTAGAGTAAAACTTGCTCACAGATTAATGCGAAAAGGTGTACAATGTCCATTTTTGGTGTGATTGTTTAAATAAGTTATATCGAAAGTCTGGCCAGAAATCTCTGTTAAAGGATTTTTTAAAAACACCCTTTTCCAGTAAATCACTTATAACTGGAACGGTCATGGAAACTCACTGGTGAAAAACTCCAGGAAGGCACATGTGCAGGGCTAGAGAAATTGATTTTGTGTGTGATGAATGAGAAACAGTGAGTGACTGTATCTCACGCTCTTCTCAGTGGTGGCGTGATGCTGGTCCATGACATCCGCAGGAACGAGAGCCGGGTCGTTGACTTCCGCGAGACGGCACCCTCCAGGATTCACCAGGACATGATGCTGCATGTTAATCAAAGGGTTAAGGTTTATTTCCATCTGCTTTCATCTTGTCTGGAAGTGCGTCATATGATCTGCGCCTGCTCTGCAGTGATCTGTGTCTGTCTTTCTGTCTGTTAGTCAGGTCTGTTAGTGGCTGTTCCCGGCTTGATCAGTGGACTACATCAAGCTCATCAGCTCTATGGAAGGTACAGTTTAAGATGAGCAGTGCAGTCACACACAGCAGACAGATTTCACTGTTAGGGCCTAAAGTCTGGTTCACACTTCAGCTTATTTTGACTAGGAACCTGACAAATGTGTTATAATATGAAGTGTTGCTTAATATCCTCATCCATGTTGGTGTTTAATTAGGAAATGGAACCAAGCACTGACAAACCATATCACCTTTATAAAGGGTCAAATCCAGTCATTTCTATTGGAATGCATGATTTCACAGCGGGTTCAAGTTGATCACATTGACCAAAGCAGAAAACCGCTTGGTTTGAAAGTGACTTCTGTGTTTCATACATCACTACACTATTGACAATAGACAGGGACCCATGAAATATCGCCAATGTAACTGCATCTTATAATGTGGGTAAATCCATAGAAACAAAATAACGATTGTCAAGTCGAAGCACATTTATTTATATGGTGCTTTATACAATACAGATTGTTTCAAAGCAGCTTTACAGTGATTAACAAGAAAATAGTGATAAAACAGTAATGCACACATGTGTAGAGTTAACTAATACTGGCACAGATGTTTGTGTAAAAGGACACATCTGGAAATGAAACTTCTGCTTGTGGTTTTGTGACTGAGGTCAAATTCAAGATCCTATAGACCCTTCCATATTTTAATCAGTTATCATTTTATAATTTTGAGTGGCTATGATAGGATTTTTTCCTCAAAAATGTGAGTTAATGTTATTGCATTGGACTAAAACGTACTGACTTTGCTTACAAAGGATATGACAAAATTGTATATTTTTTTGTGCTTTTTTATTGAGATTTTTCCCCCCACCTTGTTTCACTTCTGGTGTTCTCCAGTGCTCAAAAATGACCGGCCTACAACAAATAGCAGGTTTTTTTTTTGCAATTTCTTTAAAGAACTGATTGATCATAGGCTTCACTGTCGTTTTTGTTTAGATGAATAAACTTGAGTGAACTTTTTTCACACCGAGGTGCATGAGCTCAGATCAGTGAGGCCTACAATGAATCAATTCCAAAAAGAAATACAAAACCAGTGCTAATTGAAAGAAAACAAGTTGATAAAAATCATGAATGCAGTATTTCATTATAATATAGCGTAATGAGAGGTTTAAAAGGCCGGTCATTGTTAACAAGGAGCACCAAATTAGATAAAGGATTTTCAGCACAGCACAAGGGTTAATGATGGCTGATGGAAAAGTGTTTTCTCTCTCCTCTAGAATGGCCTGGAAAGACGTCATCTCTATGGCCGCAGATGTGGCAAGGAATGGATTCAATGTGACGCATGAGCTGGGTGAGCTTTCATCCCGCATGTCATTTACACAGAGTGCTATTCTTTGGTGCACTGTAAGACTGTAAATGTTGACTTTTAAGCAGTTTGGTATAACTGGCACCATCTTTCGCAGCTGATGCGCTGTCTGAAGTGAAGGAGCAGAATGTGTCGGATGCATTCAGAGATCTGTTCCTGCCGAACGGTCAGGCTCCCCTCGCGGGACTCTTCACTAAACGCCTGGATTTAGCTGCCGTTCTGGACAGGATTGCAGCCAATGGAGTCTCAGAGTTCTACAGTGGGAATCTGACTCAGGAAATTACATCGGAGGTACGTCTCCAGTGTTATTTTAGTATTATTGATATACTATTGGAGCATTTATTCATATTTTTCATTTTAGTTTGAGTAATTTCATGTGCTTTTTAATTTCAAGTTAGCTTTATTAGTTAGTACTTAAACTTTTGTTAACTTTATTTCAATTGATAAAAACAATTTGGAATAGTTTTTTTTTTGTTTTACATCACTGGTCTGACCTGTCAGATCATTCAAATCTTTCAAACATTGGCTTTTTAAACTGTTTTAGCCATTTTCTTATGTTCTGTTTAATAACAGATCATTCAACAGATCGTATGATAATATTAATATTATGTGTGTTTTTGTGGCCAGGTTCAAGCTAAAGGAGGTGTGTTGATGGAGGACGACTTCAAAAACTACACCACTGTCATACAGAAGCCACTGCAAAGCCTTTACCAGGGTAAACACACATCAGTTTTCAACAGAACCTATAGATGTTTAAAATACTGCAGTTTATTACTTTATGAATTGCAGTAGTTTAGATGTAGAAGTCTATTGACCTTCAAAGTCCAGACAGCAGAGCAATAAAAACCTTTCTGTTTACTCTATATCAATTTCACGATAGTGCATAATTACTGTTGTTACTCGACTTCTCAAAACAGGGTAGACAAGAATTGAATTCAGCAGAATTTTATAAAGTACACAATCGTCATGCTTAGGTAAGGATGTTTGTTTGGAAACTTTGAGTAAAAGTTAAACCAGTCCATAATAATGTATTAAAGTAACTGATATTTTATAAAAGCACAAGGGAATGCTTAAGTAATGGCCCACAGATCCATCTGTGCAGGTGTTTGCTTTTCTGTGGGTCTATAGAAATGTCATTTTCTTCTAAATACAGTGTATTATAAGTCAACGTAAACACTGACTTCTGTACCGTGAGTATTTCTGCTTTGCTTCTGTGCACTTATGCTATGCAGTTGGAGTGATGACTCATTAATTAAGATAAAGCTCTATTGTTTCCCTTGTAAATTATAAGGGGTGTTGGATGAAATGCAGATAGTAAAATTAGCATCATAAAGTGGGTAGTTCAGCTTCTGTCTTCTGATTGGATGATCCATATTTGAAGCCATTGTAAAAACACACACCTGTTTATTTATTACCACATTATTTATTAATGTTTCATGCTCCTGTCCTGTCTGGCAACCCTAAACAAACTACTGTTTATTTTATTATTTTGTTTTGTTTTGTTTAGCTTTGTTTTGCTTTGTTTAGCTTTGCTTTGTTTTGCTTTGTTTTGCTTTGCTTTGCTTTGCTTTGCTTTGTTTTGCTTTGTTTTTCTTTGCTTTGTTTAGCTTTGTTTAGCTTTGCTTTGTTTTGCTTTGCTTTGCTTTGCTTTGCTTAGTTTTGTTTTGCTTTGCTTTGTTTTGCTTTGTTTAGCTTTGCTTTGCTTTGTTTAGCTTTGCTTTGTTTTGCTTTGTTTAGCTTTGCTTTGCTTTGTTTAGCTTTGCTTTACTTTGCTTTTTTTGCTTTGCTTTGTTTTGCTTTGTTTTGCTTTGTTTAGCTTTGCTTAGCTTTGCTTTGCTTTGTTTAGCTTTGCTTTGCTTTGCTTTGATTTGCTTTGCTTAGTTTTGTTTTGCTTTGTTTTGTTTTGTTTAGCTTTGTTTAGCTTTGCTTTGCTTTGTTTAGCTTTTCTTTTCTTTGCTTTGCTTTGCTTTGATTTGATTTGCTTTGCTTTGTTTTGCTTTGCTTTGCTTTGTTTAGTTTTGTTTTGCTTTGCGTGACGAGTTGGCTGCCTCCCCCTAATTATCATCATCACCCCGTCCCATAATTGCCGCCCTTCGCCAGGCTCCCGACGGGAGTGGGTGTGTGAGAGTGGAGGGGCGCTGAAACAGCCAGGGCTGGCGGCGTGTGATGGGGCACACCTGAACCTTTTGCTTTTGCTTTGTTTTGTTTTGCTTTGTTTTGCTTTGTTTAGTTTTGCTTTGTTTTGCTTTGCTTTGTTTAGTTTTGCTTTGCTTTGCTTTGTTTTGCTTTGTTTTTCTTTGCTTTGCTTTGCTTTGTTTAGTTTTGCTTTGCTTTGCTTTGCTTTGCTTTGCTTTGTTTTGCTTTGTT